ATGCCAGATTTTCACCAGTTCAGTTCATAGAAACTGGAACTGTTATAGTCCTACTATTGATGGTCCAATGATTGCTGTTCATGGTGTTAACAAGAACTTTGTTTCGCTCATTTGTTTCTCAATTATCATTATCATGCGATTTTGATTCGTATCTTTCTTTAAATATTCATTTAATTTTTCTTTGGTTTGTACGCTTTGTCATCTATTTGTCTAATAAAGAATGATATTGTTTATTTTTTATTTCAGGTTTGTACAGACATGAACAGAAAGAGAAGCGAAAAAACTTCGATAAGACTTGTTGATGAAACAAATAAAAGACAATATCCAACAATCACAGAAAAAAATGTTATATTTTCCGAACGTCAAGTCAGATTCAGCTGACAACTTTAGGATGAATAGTCATCAATGAGATAATGTAGTAAAATATTATTTAGCTGAACAAAGTATGCTTTGGTTAAGATATGAAACGAATAACAAAAAGCGATACAACACAGAGATAATAGTGCCACTTATCATGTCACTTGTAACGCTCATAACTCTGAAGCCGAACTGCAATTTTACGAACTTTTTTAGTTTTATTATGTAGATTATCAACACTAGTCACAAACAAAACATGAACTCGAATGGTGCGTATCACTTGCCAATGTTCTCTCTTGAGTTTATCATTCGATTGAGCTTGTCAAATTATATCCGACTCGCAGCATTGCAAAGTGGTACAGTAAATGGAACGAATCATTTTGGGAAAAACTCGAATTGACTGCTAAATTTCCATACATAGTTCTGAAGCCCTAATAATTCGTCAAACCTATGCAACAATGAGGAAAAACCAAATGAAGCAATGGTAGGGATGTCATTTTTCTGTTACTTTAAAATAAATAGAAACTATCAGCAGCTTATATTTATTTTTGATATATGAACTCTCAGTAACTTGTGTTCCCTTTAAATTTAAATTGTTTGCATTTAAATTACAATCTATTAAATTATAAAGTTAAATTAAAATATTCGATTCCTTTTTTATGTTTCATCCCAGCGAGACGAACAAAGGGGAAACGCGTAAAAAGTGTTGAAATTTTAATGTACTTTTATGCACTCTTTCACTTGTTCGTCTGACTCGGATGAAATATAAAACAGAAAGAGAGTTCTTTAATCTAATTTAATTTATATTTATCTTAAATTTAAACTATTGATAATTTAATTGACGTATGGATTAAACTGAAAGTACATATAAATTGACGCTACTAAGCCATGGTGTACAGTACTTTTTTTTTCACTTTCGATTCACTCTGTCTTACAGTCCTTGAAGCTGTTCGAACGATGAGTGAGAGAACAAGCAAAACAACTATAATATTTGTATGAAAAAAAAAATCAGATATCTCAATAAAATATGATCATCAGTCATTTAAAGTAAATGCATGAATGCGCACAAGCCAAACTTATTTAGTGATGTGTATATAAGTAATACAAGGCTTTTATCTTTTGCATAGAACACGTGTCGATTCATTAGTTATTCTTCTCGTCTGTATACAATATTTCGCACTCATACAGCGAGCAAATGTAAGTGTTTTGAAATTGCATATTCTTGAGAAGGCTTTTTTCATCATCAATATTCAGTGGATTCTTCTGTCCTTAAGTAATGTCACTAAGCTTGTGTGGTATTATTTTCGTATCATCGTAATTATTTTTCTGCTGACAAAACTGCTCCGAAGTTCTGCATGAAATGAATACTAGATGTCAATTACTGTACAGCCACTCTTCTCACAAAGCATGTTTAGCAAAGGTTGTCAATACATGTTGTGAATTTCATTGTAGAGAAAAACCTTTCAGCAGCATGTTTTTTTAGCACTCAAAAAAATTGGAACTCGCTGAAAATTAGATATGATGCTGTACAGAAAACAAGTGCTTCAGGAAAGTTACGTGAAAAGGGTTCTCTTGAACTGGATTTTTTTGGAAAGAATATGCTTAAGGTATTGTCTTCAGAGCGACTAGTTTTAATGCACAATAGATATCTTTGACATGTCAACAGAATTCGGGCCAGTAGAGGTTGAAAAAACCATATTTTCCTTAGAATGCATCTGTCAAAACTCTGATGAAGGTAAAAATCATAAGAGATTCTTCAAGAAAAGAAGATGGGTGCGCAGATCTTGAGAAAGGATGACTTTGTTGAAATAACTCTAGTTCTGAAACTTTGCTATGTATTTTTCTGTCACGGTGATCAAACATGAGTGCAAATCAGTTTAAATTTTCTGTGATTTCATAGCACACTCATAGCACTAGAAAATAACGGTATCACAGCATAAATGATCCCCTAGCTTTTTGTTTGATATTGCTTTGAGTCTTCATAGTGTCAAAGCATTGAAGTAAATCAAACAGGCATTTCTGTTGAGCTTTGAAAGTTGTATTCTCTGAATGTCCATAAGAACTCTTCGATCAAAAGCCTCTAGGGCTAAACAAATGTTAGTTATCATCAATTTTCGAAAATATCCCTATTTGTCACGATATTTTTTCAGATTTTGGAAAAATACGAGCTACTTGCCGTACTATTTTCTCCCGGAGCAAGGTTTTGGTTGGTGCAAATGCCATTAAACGATGCTACGCAAGGCTCGCTGAATTCTGAAATATTGCTACTTCAAATAATTTATGTAGGGAATAGTTAGGTATTATACAGAAGATCAGGGCTAGTTCTTTAAAAAATATATGTTCTACATAGAATCTTTTACATGCGTCTTCAGTACCAGAACAAAAGACAAGCTAGTATTAATGAAAACACTTTGGAAGTTATTAATGATAGACTCTCCTAGTATTACCATGATAAGTATGTTCGCCCTCACATGCCTAGTGTAAGGATTTTTTCTGTCTTCTATAGGGGACAGAAGTTACAGTTACTCACCAGTTATCAAGTAACGGCTGTTAGAGGTGTTGAAAATTTATCAAAGGACAGACGTTTTCTCCAAAATAGTGACGTTGTAAAAAGTTCGATTACGGGTTTTCGGAGTATGACTGGATTAATTAATAGTGTACTACGTGATCGTGATCAAAAATGCCACTAACGCAGAACACTTACTAAGTAATCTTACCTAACATCAAGTTAAATTTGGCACTTAAAATATAATTCATCAAAAGTTAGATTGAAGTGACTTCGCTACATAACTATAATTTCAAGTTTTTCTTAACTTCTATATGAACTCACCAAGGTGTTTTTCAAATTGTATAAAAGACGACTCCTACTAACCTCTGATTGGTCCGACAAAAAACTATGTTTCGTCCTTCTTACAATAGAAGATAAAATTCTACTGAAATCTGATTGGTCGAGAACTTTTTTAATCGATCAATCAAATTCGAACAACCTATTACTGTTCTGTTGCAAGGACAAAGCGTAGTCTTGTTTTGGCCGATCAGAGATTAGTAAGGGTTATCTTTTATATGAATCGAAAAATATTTTGATGCATTCATATAGAAGTATATAAGAGCTTGAAATAAACTATATTTGTGTAGCACATTTACTAACTTAATTTTAGATTCAGTTTAACAGCTTAGGCCTAGCTCGAAAATAGTGAGCCAAGCTTTATAGATAATGAGTATTATTCTGGGGTCGGAGTCGTCCTATAATTTTTATAATACCTATATTTTGTCCTATATGTCAATCGTTAGTCCTATTTTTTAACAAAAACACTGGAAAAATTTCACAAGATTTGACTGTGCCCTGAGGGGAAGTACAAGAGTGTTCACAGCGCTACTCCTCCCCCTTGGTTATCACTTTTTACGAAAAACTCAGGAGATGAGAATAGGTGTTTCTTGGAGGTAAAGCATATATATTTGAGGGACAGCTTGACATACAATACCTAAATTTTGGTTAGTTTTTAGTGAAAATAATCGTAAAATTCAGAAAACGAAATCCTATATAGGAACTCCTATAATTTCGAAAATTTGTAATCCGAGGCCAGGTATTATTCTTAAATTGCCTTTCGTTTGATTAGATTGCTAAATTTTCGTTGTCCTACCACCCGCCCCCCCCCCTCGTTACTTGGTTACTGCTCGTTTCTGTTATCTGGTAACGGGTAACTGTAACTTCACTCCCTATTCGAGATAGGGGTAGAAGCACTCACGTTCATGAACGTGAGCAGTACAACGATATTTTATAATTGAGATTCTTTAAATGGTTTTCGAAAATCTAATGTTGATTTTTCTCTTTTTTGTAGGACCTAGAATGGTTTTCTACCCAAGCAAACAAGCATATCGATTTTTCGTATTTTTTGAACAGAAAAGAAACAAACTTTCAGCCTTTTTGTCTATGTTAGTTTTAACTGTATTTTCTACAAAAACTAGCGTTTTCGCTCATTTTTTTCGGAAAATTTCAAGTTTTTGAGGCACTTTCGCTCTTCTTTTTGTTTTTTGCATATATTTTGTGTGGATTTTTCGCTGAAAACTCGAAACTTTGCTCAAAAAAATGAGTAAAAACTCGAATTTTTGTGGAAAATACAGTTAAAACTAACATAGACAATAAAGCTGAAAGTTTATTCCTTTTCTGTTCAAACAATGCGAAAAATCGATATGTTTGGTTGCTTGGGTATGAAATTAGAATTAATTTTCAAACATTTTGATAAATTGTTGTTGATTTTCCGATTCGTTCGAACACATTTTTTTTCGGAAAATCAAGTATTTTTTGTAAATTGTAAAATCGTCCAGTGATTAATAGTAATTTGAAAACATTTGAACTTTTGTAAACTCGATCTTTTAGATAGTAAAATTTATTTAAAATTAACAGTGCACTTATTTCAGCAGATTTATCAACTATGAGCAACACCAATCTTCGTATCAGTATAATAGGCTTAGGAAAACTGGGCAGCCCAATGATTGCCGTTTTCGCATCTAAAGGTTATCACGTAATTGGTTTGGATGTAAACAAACAATTTGTCGATGCATTGCAAAGAGGAGAAGCTCCGGTATCTGAACCACAATTGCAAGAACTGATTACCCAGTACAAAACTAACATCGAGGTTACAATGGATTATGAAAAAGCTATTAGTGCAACAGATATGACAATGATAATTGTTCCAACACCATCAGATCCACAGACCGGATTTTTTAGCAATGATTACGTGCTTTCGGCTATTAAATCAATCGGAGAAGTTATCAAGTCGCGTAATAAATACCATCAGATAGTTGTTACATCAACAGTGATGCCGGGTTCAATGGATGGGGTTATTCGTGATACTCTGGAATCATCATCTGGCCGCAAAGTTGGGTGTCGAGATAATGAAATTGGTTTGGCATACAATCCTGAGTTCATTGCACTAGGACAAGTTATTAGAGATATGTTGAATCCAGATTTTATCCTAATTGGTGAAAGTGACAAGCGTATTGGAGATGCTTTGGAAGCATTATATTTAACAACAATCGCTAAACGACCATTGCCATTTCACAGAATGAACTTTATTAATGCGGAAATAACGAAAATTTCTATTAATACATATGTGACAACTAAAATAACTTATGCTAATATGCTAGGTGAACTGTGTGAAAATTTACCAGGAGCTGATGCTGATATTGTTAGTGCTGCTGTTGGCTGTGATTCCCGTATCGGAAACAAATATTTAAAATGTGCCTTAGCATATGGAGGACCGTGTTTTCCAAGAGATAATCGTGCGTTTGTTGCTTTAGCAAAATCTGTGTCCGCTAATGCATTATTAGCCGAAGCAACTGACCAATTAAATAATTATCAAATCGAAAGATTACTAAGCATATGTGAACAGATAGCAGAACTTAGTTGTGGCGATTTTTCACAACTTAAACCAAAAGTTGGTATATTGGGTTTAGCTTACAAACCTGATACTCCTGTTGTCGAGTGTTCAGCTGCTTGTGCATTAGCCAATAAGCTTATTGATAACTTTGATGTATGTGCATATGATCCATTGGCCATGCCATCGGCTTCTACAATATGTGATAGGCGTGTACAATTAGTTAATTCTATTGATATGCTTCTTTATGCACAGAACATTGATATTTTGATTATTGCTACTGCTTCAAATAGCTGGAAAAACATTAAGTTCAATCGTACAGGGAAAAAAACTTTGTATGTAGTTGATTGTTGGCGGTTACTGAACAAAAAAGAGGTGGAGAAAAATAATCTATCTACTCACATCATATTATTAGGAAATGGTGATTCAAAAATGGAGCTGAAACAACTGAAACGATTAGATAAAAAGTGTACAATAGATATTATTGAACGTTCCATTAATGGTGGTAGTAAGCGTCGTATATTGGTGGCTGGTGGAGCTGGTTTCATTGGTAGTCATTTAGCTCGGCGATTGCTAGAAGATGGTCATTATGTTATTTGTGCTGATTGGAAAAAAAATGAATATTTCCATGAAGATGAGTTCTGTAATGAATTTTTACATATGGATTTGCGTGCATTCGATAATTGTTTATTGGCAACTAAAAGATGCGAGTGGGCCTTCAATTTAGCTGCTGACATGGGAGGAATGGGGTATATTCAATCGAATAATTCAGTAATTTTATTCAATAATACAATGATCTCATTCAATATGATAGAAGCTGCCAGACAGAATGGTGTTCAGAGGTATTTTTATGCTTCCTCTGCATGTGTTTATCCTGAACATATTCAAACTGAAGAAAAGGTTGCGGCGCTTCGAGAAGAACAAGCCTGGCCCGCAAAACCACAAGATTCATATGGTTTAGAAAAATTGGTATCAGAAGAAATGGCAATACATTATTCAAAAGATTTCGAGAATATGCAAACTAGAATTGCGCGGTTTCACAACATTTATGGGCCTGAAGGTATGTGGAAAGGAGGTAGAGAGAAGGCTCCGGCAGCATTATGTCGAAAAGTATTAGTGGCACATGAAGGAGAAAACCACGGTGTAGTTACAATATGGGGGGATGGAAAACAAACACGATCATTTTGTTATATTGATGATTGCATCGATGGAATAATGCGTCTGATGCAATCAGACTACACTCTACCGCTTAATATTGGATCAGACGAAATTGTTTCTATGAATGATATGATAGGCTTAATTTGTAGAATCGAAAAAGTTGATGTTACGCTCAAACATATTCCAGGACCGGAGGGTGTTAGAGGAAGAAATTCTGACAATACCCTAATAAAAAAAGTGTTGAAATGGGCACCTTCAACATCACTAAGTGAAGGACTAAAACGTACATACAACTTCATAAAAAATGAATTACAAAGAGAGAAAAAAAATGGAATCGATATCTCGGCATATGCTTTGTCAAAAATTATTCCACAAACGACAGAAACACTGGAAAACATTGGCCAAATGAAACCCAGTAACAAAATTTGCATGTAAAATTACTCTACCATAATGAAAATATCATGTTAAATTTAATTCTTTGATAAAAACGCTTCTCCAACAATCATGCAAATCACAATTGTTCGATGTGCTGATCCAATTACAGAACGCATATTTCCTTTTTTTTTCCATTATCAACAAAATAAAGAAATAAATATGATAAAGCTGTTTTGTACTTTTGATTGATTATAAACTTAAGATTCATTACTTTGAGATATAAATGTGCTAATGTGTGGAAATGGGTGTGAACGAGATGTGGGTGGGATGTGGCTGTAAATGTGTGAATTCGGGGTGAGAATGCGAAGTGTTTGTAGGGGTGTAGAAGTATGAATACTCACCTCCAACCACATCCAAACCTACACATCCAATGGGAATTATGTAATGCATATAGTGCAAAAAACACTATACGAATGATATGATTCTAGTTTTCTGTAACTATAAATATCATGTAACAAAGATCATGTCAAAGTAACGAAAGTAATAGAATTTTGATTTTTTTTTTGAAATAACTGATATCATGAAAGGCAAAATATACAAAAAATAATCAAAGCAATGGAATGCTTTTGATGTTCGTAGAATAACTAAAAACATTAAATTTTTTGCATGAAAATTTCGAAAGTAACCATTTTAATGAAATTTATTTCATTGCTTAAGTTGCTGGGTATATGACTAAACTTATTTGAACATATTAATGTGAAGAAGACACAATAAAAGAACGATAAATATAAAAAGTAATTAATCGTTCAAAATGAGATAGGGATAGTGAAAAGTCTGTAATTTTTCCACTGAGAACTGCTTGTGACCAGCGTTAATGATCTATAAATGATCGAGAAACAGAAACATGTACTGTGCAGAAATTTTTCCGCATGTAAAAATAATTTTGAGTATCTTGATTATCCAGATTAAGGAAAATTCGGTATAATAGATTTCAAATTTCCTACATGAATAAAAACTAATTTTTTGATAATAAATTGATTTCTAATAGAACTATTTAATTGGAAAACTCTTCTAGGAAAAAAGAAAAAAGAGACAACTCTTTGGTTAAAATGCTCAAAAATGACTAATCAACGTGCATCATTGTCAATAATTAGGTTAGTTTGCGGGAATCGATCAATAGAATGATTACCAAAGAGCATTTATGCACTTCACAGCATGCATCCCGTTCAACAAGACTGGCTTTGGTCCGTTTTGAACACAATTAATAGCGTTTTCATTTTTCATGGAACCAAAATATCTAGATAAATTTTCTATTCCACCATCATTAAATTTACAGATCATATTAATGGCGAGTTATTTGCGAGGTTGCCCAACTTTGTCCTAACGAGGGTGTTCTTATTGAAATTAAAAGGGATTTAACTACATGGCAAACAGAAGGAACAACCTAGGACATTGACCCGTTGGCATGGCAACATTGGTCTATACATACCCCTGGGTAAATGTCTTTCCCACCCTCTCCTTTCTCAACATGGTATTCTCTACTATTATAAGGACAGCTCAAGATGTTGTTCGAGCCCATATAAAAGAGAACACTTGTTAACCTTTAATCGATTCGAACAACGACATGTTTTGTCCTTATAATAGTAGAAAAAACTTTGTTGAAAAAGGAGGGGATGGAAAAGACTTTTTCTCTGAGGTGTATGTTGGTAAGCATGATGTCATACACTTGGCGGAATTTAAGCAATCGTTTCAAATCAAACGTGATAACCTCAGAAAAGTAGTTGGCAAATCATGGTATCGGGTCAACAATTTGGGAAACGGTCTCGCTAGTAGAAATATTGAAGGACCATTACTTGTGGAAGACATTCTTACAAGAGCAAATTCTGTATTGAATAACATACGCGATTATCACGTGGTGAATAATAATTGCGAGCACTTTGTCACCTGATGCAGATATGGACAGTCATTCAATGGTCAAGAATCAGCCACTAAAGAGTCACTACGACTCAAAAGATGTAATATAATGTGAGCTCTTGTGCTCTCGAAAGGTTTGCTAGCTTATATTAATGAAATAGAAGTGTATAAAAAATAACTTGTTAATTTATTTGATTTTCTTATTTTACATGATGTGTTATATTAAGCAAAAGTTTATCAAGATATTTCAAGTTAAATATAAACTTATTTTAAAGTAATAAATAATTTTTATATTTCAAGATAGTATAACTTTTTAAAATATTGAATAGACATGGATTATTAAGAACAGATAATCACAAAAAATATATTGTTTATTTTAATTTAACGAGAATATATATGTTACACAAACTATAAATTAATAATAATAATATTTAGTTGTAGAAGTTAAATGTAAATAGATCTAATTGCTATGCTTTTATTATAAATTTTTAAATGTATTTAAAAAATTGAGTGAAATACTAATTTTAATCTCTAATAAAACCAGAGGTGATCAAGCTTTTCAACGCGAGGGAGCATATAGAGGAATAGATTTCCGAGGCTAGGAGTCAAAACTCCTCAGATTTCAGTCAATAAAAAGTATCTATAATTACATTAATTACTTGTAATTAGCTATTAAACATATATCTACGATAGAAATCGAACCATTCTTATTGACCTACAAATTCATAGCCGAAATGGTAGTGTGAGCTGCAGAAATTCAGAATTATGTGAAAGGTTATTTACATTTTCTCCAATAAATACGCAATAGCCGGACTCCAAACGAGCCGAAAGAATGCGACCATAAAAATTATTGTCCTTGAACAGTTTCAACTTCTAAAGTCCGAGCAGCTATAGTTTATTCTGCACAACATCAAACTTTGATTCCTGCTTCTTGTGCTATTTTATAGAGCTTATAGGCATCTTGAACTGTTTCTACAATTAGTTTTTCGCAATACACATGTTTGTCTGCTTCAATTCCTTTTTTCACTACTGTTGCACATAATTGTGTAAGTGGAGAATCAAAATAAATGCTATTGTGTGCATCTGCTAGTACTTCATCTAAATTACTGGCCCATTATTTTACACCAGCCTGAACTACCAGTTTTGTACGAGTATGGGTGTCAAGAAATGATCCATACTCACACTCTGTTTTTGTTCTTTTCATGTAGTCAATAAATACACACTTGGTTATTTGTACAGCACACAGAGTAACTTTTTCGTTAGTCAGTAGGTGAACAGTATGTCTAATTTTTAACCGGCAACCAGTTAACTGTGATTGATGCATATATAATTTGGACGTTACCGGTCAGTCTTTGTTTCTGGTCCATGAGAATTATCAATAGCAATAACGCATTGTTTAATTCAGCTACATGCAAACAATGAATAGTGGAGTGAACCATAATCATTTCATGAATACGTGCGTAATATGCAACACATATGTAATTCAGATTCATTAGAGAACAATGCAATCTATGAATAAAAATATGTTGATGCGAGACAAATTGCTAACTGTTTTATAGTAAGTGAAACAAAATTTGATGTCATATAAAGGCAGGTCTACTAAATAAAATATTCATCATGTTTCTTTCTTATACATCCAATATGCTACTGGAACATGTAATATAGTGCATCAAGGCAACTTTCCCATTCCAGTTTAACTAAGAAATTTTAATTCTAAAGACTTTCTAAGACATAATAGCATTGAAAAAGGCGAGCTTTAATAAAACTTATACCAGAAGAAAATTAGCTGTAATTCATATTCCATCTAAAATATGTACATACGTAGACATGTACTTGTTCCAAAAACTGTGCTCGAATTTATTGAGAGTGTAACAGAAAAAATTGTAGAAATAAATAAGTGTGCAGAGAAAATTTTATTTCCTTTCGAAATCAAGTTAAAATGAACTTTTTTATTATGAATGTATCCGACATTATGCTATATAAATGATAGGATGTATTGGAAATGGTATTGTAGTATAAAATCATCGTGTTGGCTTACCATCTGAAGTTAGAAAATTTTCCCATTTAATGTCGTCAGATAATTTACAATAGACTTCTAAAGCACAATCAATATTACTTATTTCTTATTTAATTTTGTTTATTTTCGTGAAACTTAGTCTATTTAACAAAAGTTTTCAAAAATCTAGTATCTAGTTTTATATATCTGTGACAATGGCTCAGACGATTGGCTTATACCTTTAAATAACAATACACTTCGGTTGATAAAATGCGACACTATGAATATTTTGTCATGAAATCAAATAAAATATTTCTCCGAAAATTCCTTATCCAATCATACATAGAAATTAGAAAGAAAAAAAAATTTTGGATTAATATTTTGAAGTTAATAAGCACGATCATATGACAGATAGCGTGCATTATTATTGTAAAATCAAATTAAAATAGAATTAGAAACTTTCGAGTGAGTCATTTAGAAAAAAAAAAAAAAAAGAATTTGAACTATTTTATAATACTTTGTCGATCAATGATTCGTTCCAATAAATATATGTTCGATTATATTTTTTTTTTGTTGATGAATCATATAACTAATATGCTGAACTTGAAAATTATAATAGTGTCAAATAGAATATTTACAAAATTTTTATAAAATTATCGATTCATTTCTTCAAATAATCGATGAATCATTGAATAATGCCATTAGAAAACCATGACAAAAATAATCATTATAATCACATAAAGCTCGTTGTCATCATTTCTATTATAATTATAAGTATATGAGAGTTCGAGAAAGAACATGCTAATATATATATTTAAATTGATTTTGTTTCAGTTACAAAAAAGGACAAATCAATTGCACTAATTATTCTTCGATTTTTGCGTGTCATTCATTATTTACAGGCAAACATAACAAACAAAGAACAAGAAAAACTCAACACAGTTCATTTATCATTCCTTTGTAAAAATCATTGAAGTTTATGTTTTCTTTTTGTTTTTTCAACAACAATAACAGGATTTCTCTTCTCACATTTGTGCAACAGCTCATCACTAATAGTAAGAGATAGAGAAAATCTAATATTTTAGACTATTTACATACTAGTCTATCGACACACATTCATATGGTTTTTTTTTTCTTTTTTTGTTTGCAA